TCGGTTCTGCTGCATTTGGCTACCTTTTAATTGCATGCATACTTACACACGTATGCACATAATCATATGTATGCATGAAAAAGTAGATAAGTATGTATGTTTATATATACATACATACATATGCATATGTAGATATATTTTTATCATATTCACTACTGCTGTGGCATGCAACATGCAACATTTCTAATACATTTATTATTAAACGCTTTGCTACACATTTTTATGCGCTTAAACGTGGGAATTTTTATGCATCTCCCTATAAAGTACTCACTTTTCTCTTTCCCCTATTCTCCTCAGCATATTCTCTATTAAATTCAATTCAGTCCCTATTCAACGTGACCTGTGCGTATTGTTGCTATCAATTTTTTAGGAAACCAAAAAATGCTGTGTGGTTCAAAAACAATGCCTGAACTTGCATAAAATTATATAGCGAAAAACAACAACAACAGCAGCACGAACAAGGCGAAGCCCTTTGACTGACATCCTTTTGCACACTTGACAGATTTCACAAAAACTTCACAGCCCCTTTGAATGATGCAAAGAGTGCGGCTTCGGCCTAGTACCGGTAAGTTGGATTCTTTGTGCGCTATGCTGATTGAGTTACAAAGGAAAATGACCTCACAGCCACATAGTTAGCGCGCAACGCGCATGCGCAGTTATGTTTAATTGAGTGCGAAAAATGTTGGCTGAATGTGAGACTATTTAGTAATGGGAATTTGCTGAAAGCTAAGGGGAAGCTTTAATATTTCGACTAAACTAATTTTTTTGCAATTATTTAATACTTACAAGCAGTGCAAATTGCTGCCGAAATTTGGCCGATTTCAAAATTTTTTTTTTAGAGGCTCGAAGATTTTTTCGTTTTCGTTTTAGTCGCTGTCTTAGTATTTGTCTTTGGAATATATTCGTACAAGTATTCGTATTCCTCCTCGTTTTGTTCGCCATTTTTCTATTCGTATTCATTTTGGAAATCGTCTTCGAATACTTTTTACATTCGCATTTATCTTCGTATTAGCCTTCGCATTCACCTTCGCATTTGTTTTAGTAGCTGGCTTCGTATTCGTTGTTGTTGTTGTAGCGGCACTACTAAGCCCCGCCTGTTTCGGGTCAACTTTTAATCATTATCGTCAAGCACAACTAACGGTAGGCCCAGGAAACGAGCTGTTTCGATGGGGTCGGACCAAAGGGAGAGAGGTGTTAGTTGAGTCGGATTGAGCTGGCATGTGAAGAGGTGGTTGGTGTCGTGGGGGGAGTCTCCACATGCCGGGCACTCATTTGGGATGTTTGGGTCGAGTCTGGACAGGTAGCTGTTTAGGCGGCTACAATATCCAGACCGTAACTGAGCCAGGGTAATGCGGGTCTCTCTAGGTAACTGAAGCTCCGTCTCTTCCACAGGTGGTGATTGGGCTCCGATAACGACATTCCTAGGCCGGGAGTCGAGGTAGGTGGAGACAGACTCCCTATGAATGTCGTTAATCGCTCGTCTGTACGTCATTGGGTCCAGTGGTTGGTCTGTGTAGGTCTGGACTGCGTCCTTGTACATGAATAGGTGCCCCCTGACGTGCCTGGGCGGAGGCTCCTCCTCCAGCAGTGGTCTGTTGGGGTGTTCACTTCTGTGACACCCCACAAGAAACTGCTTACAGAGCATCTTGTTGTGTTCCCTTACGGGGAGCACTTGGGCCTCACTGTGTAGGTGATGCTCAGGCGTCATCAGAAGGCACCCGGTCGCTGTCCGGAGTGCGGCGTTCTGACAAGTCTGTAGCTTCGTCCACTGCGTCCAACTAGTCCC